ACGCTTGCAGATGCCATCCAGGGTCGCTGATGGATTTGATCGTGGCACAAATAGTAAGCAAATTGCTACGTTGGTGAGAGGAAGATATCAAACAAGGTAGGACTACTGTGGGATGGAAATCAGAACCGACACCGTTAAGTTAAAAAAAAACAACCTCATTACACTGCAAGAAAGAAAAAAAAAATGTGATCACGAATTTACAACTATACATAGAGAGGCATCAAAAATTGGTAAAAAGCTGACAATGAATTTTTAAAAATTGAAAAGTTCTATGAACTGTAGAAACATTTGCTGGAGCTGGCTACGTTCCTCTTGGCTGACACTGACTGGAGACATGGGTCTCAACTCAAAATTTAAAAAAAGGAGGAACTTTCCGTGTGATCGTGACAGAAGACCATCATAATCGAGAGACACCCATTACAAAGCATCATTATACTCAGTTATACTGTTTAACTACCCTAGAATACTGAAATAATAACCCATCTATTTAATTTATCAAAGCAAATTTCTGTACACTTTCTGCGACTCTTTTATTTGAAATTATCTTCCAACCCCAAAAATTGGTATGAAATGCCTGCCAATGCCAACCCAGGCTGAGAAGGATAGTATAACATCCCAGTAGAAAGACCGAGATACTCTATAAAAATCCCCCTAGTCTGTAATGGAGCTTGGGTCTGCCATGTGCCACAACGGAGCATCTAACCGCTACACCACAGACGCTAGAGCATGCAGAAAGGAACTGAGCCCATGACAGGACTACGGAGGTGAGCCAAACTTTGTTTCTGTGCGGGTTTTTCTTTCGCTTCAAGCGCCACATGATCTGAGACAGACATCGGAGACCTTGGGTCTCTCACTCATTTCTTTGTCTGGATGCAACCTACTTGGATTAGCTTACAGAAAGTATGGGAATGAGTGTTATAAAGATTGTAATTTTTCTATTCTAAAGAAAAACGTAATTTCTTTAGGCTGGGCAAGGTGTTGGTCGGCACCAGCAACACATATATAAGGCATAGACTGAGAGGGGGAAGGCGATCTGGTACAGCACAAGTCAAAAACAAAAAAATAAAGAATGTGCAGCGTGCGTGCCACGCCACATCGCCACGTTACAGTGCATCTTTGCAGAGTGTTTTCAGCATATACATGTACAGCAAGTGACAACTGGGAGTCCACACACACACATTACACAGAATACATCACCGTGGAGTAGTTGCAATTTATTTCTTCACCACAAGCTGTTAGCAAAAGGAACCTGACAGACATTGTGAAAAGTCGGACAAAAATAGAACTTCCACACAGACCAACCGATTCAAGTCATACAGCCAAAAGACTGTGTGTGTATTTGGGAGGAGGGAAAGGGGGGGGGAAGGGGGGAGCCAAAGGACACAAACAGACAGTGGATGTTGATGATTTCCCGTAAATGGTTTCTATGTTGACATAATCACCGACACTTGTGGGGACGACAAAGAAAGATCATTTGTGCAGAGAGGATGGAGCTAGAAGGGAAGTGATGTCGCAGAGATACGGACATCGGGGGGGGAGATATTTTGTCAGGAGATATACTTTTCCAGCGTTGAGGAGAGATGGAGAATGAGGAAAATGAGCAGGGATAACTTTATTGATCCAAACACAATAAACAAACAAACAAACACACCAACAGACCAGCACCTTCCATTTCTCGGACAGATGCTGGGGGGCGGCAGGGGGCAATCAACTAGTAAGCACAGAGTAAAGTCATTGAAATTTTAAAAAACACAAAAAAACTGATGAAGATGAGTCTAGAAAAGACAAAAACTAAACAAATCAATGCTAAAACAAAATCATAAGTAGGTCAACTGCTTCGCTATCCACCGTTAGGAGCATGGTTACAGCTCTTGCTTCGATTTCTGTCTCTCATTTCCAATGTCGAGGTGAAACAAAAAAACAAAAAAAAGAACATCTAACAGCAGCAACTCAACCAGTCTTACCGACTGACCGACCGACATACATCTATGTGCGTAGAAATAGAAAAAGGAGAAGGGGGAGACAATCAAAGTCAGCACTGGCTACGCAGGGCTTGTGTCCCCTCTCTTGATTACACATCCCTCGCGGGGTTTCCGAGAAAACGACAGAGCACAGAGGAGCAGGTAGGAGTGGGATTTGGTCCATCCATGTGACCACAAGAACTTCTTTATGAACGCCGTTACCTTCCTTCTCGCCACGTGAAAAGATGTTGAAATTTTAAAAATTCCACGGACACTGTCAGTCACTTTAGATAATAAAGAACGGGGGCCACTTTAGATAATAAAGAACGTTCAGCATTTTCACTTTGCAGAAGGCAAAGATTGGGGTCTCAATTGTGCTGACAATCAAAAAGACGGCTAAATTTAGGAAAACTTAGTTGCTTACCTACACATTTCCCAAACGCAATGAATTCCACTGAATCGTAAACCTGCAAAATGTGTTTACATTAGATTTTTTGTCAGGCGACCCACACGAGGCCCCGATCTGTGAGCAGGTGGGCAACTCTCTCTCTCTCTATCTTCAGTCGCTGTGGCGTTACAAATGGTCAGCGATGCCGACGGCAACTCTAGACAGAAAACGATGATCGATTACGAAGGATCCAAAACCATAACATTTTGCAATCACTTGAGGCAATAATGCGCCGGTGAAAATTATCCATTCCAGTCACCTGGTGCACTTTTGCACCAGGCCCGAGACGTCCGGTGCAGTCGCTCTCCTGGCTAGAAGGTGACCAGATGGGGTATTTTGTACTGCTGGCTGTGCGATTGCAAAGCATTAATAACCACTGCTACAAATAAATGCTGGAAGAGAAATGAAGTGCACATACACAAACATGGTAAATTCAAACTAAGGATGCTACAGGGCTACTATCAACAAAAAATCTGATGACTCCAGTCCGAATGAAATATAAAAACCAACTGGCTGTACACGCTCACAGAAGCCACAAGGACCGCCACAAACAAACGGAATGATGATGAACAGAACATGGTAACACGCTTCACACAAAGTGACCGCCAATATCAATCAACAAGGGAAAATAGAGAATGTTAGTTTGAAACATAGGGAACTTTCAACAGGAAAAAACAATGTCTGTGAAAGTGTCAGCGAGGCGATGATTAATTAATATTATATCCTAGAGGATTCTTGTACAAGTCGCAGGCAAGCATGTGGTTCTACACGACCTTGATGTATTTCAAGAGCACTAGTTTGACAGAACAGACAAATGGACTAATTTATGTTCACGGAGCATTCAGAGTTAAAAAAGAATATATATATATAGATTTGTATCATCAACAAAAGGCAATTAGTTCCCCTCATAAAACTCTCTGCTTCAGCAACCCACATTACCAGAAAAAAAAAAGTAAAAATTATTTGTCTTTTTGAACAGCTTCGGTTGCTATCGTCCGACAAAAGAGGACAAAATCATCAACGATTGGAAAAAATGTTGATACAAATCTGGATTAAAAAATCAAGGTCGTTCTCACCTCCCTTGTTTTACACGTGGGCAAGCAGTGGGCGCTGGAAACAGTTTTCCGATATTTCATACGTATAAAATATGGGAAGGAGGAGCGTGCTGAACTTTAAAAATTAATGAAATCTAATCACCCTTTTAATTTGTTTTTTCCATTTTGTTTTGTTGAACATTCAAGAAAAACTTGGGCCCGAGTCTCAGAAACCAGAAACTTTGAGAGAACAGAGGAAGGAAGGCAACGGTTTTTTTCTCATATCACATTTCTCCAGATTACCTGATTCAACAACCGTTTTACAATACAAAAAAAACAAAACAAAAAAAATAACCGTGGGTTCACAAACATCGCAGGTCAGCGACCGGCACTGGCACAAACAGCCAGAGACAGACGACCGACCGTGCTTTGCTTCCCCCTGTCATGGAAATTTCAATGAGATAACAAAAAAGAGGCAACCACAAACCCATGGACTATATGTGAGGCAGCGTGGTGGAATCAGGCTCTCGTCAAAATAATCAAAGTGAAGAAACTTGCATTTTACCGCAGGTTTGTGAATTTTTATGAAATTTTTGTTTTTCGGCTCAACACCTTTCATGCCCATTAAAGAACTCATTTCTGTGAGGATTTTTTTCTGAAAAACGATTAAATGCACAAAAATTGTAAATTTTCACTTACCACGGACTCTTAAGCTAAGGAAATAACTAATCTTTGGCGGCCATTTACTCACTAATTTTACCTCTGAAAACAGATGACCGCCACTTCCTTCATTCCAAAATATTCGACTTGGATATTTTTTTATCCAAATAAAGACAGGTGAACAAGCTTTAAGATGATACCAATAACTCTACATGCCAAAAAATTGACGAGAGCCTGATTCCACAATGCTGCCTCACGTATAACATAGAAGATTGAGGGCAGCTCATAGTCACAGGATGTCGCAGTCCTTCCTCCCGGCCACTGACAAAACCACGGAAGAAAGGACTTTACTCTGTGTACATTTGTGATAGAAGGTAAAAATTGTCCCCTTTTTTTGTACAGAAAAAAATCCAAGACTATCTCGGAGAGAGAGAGTGAGGAGAGAAAAGACAAAGCACATTTTGTCACCAGCGTTGTGACCCAGCCCATATACAGAGGAACAAGCAGATTGCAATTATAAGACACTCAGAAAGCCTGTACAAGGGGAGAGGTACAAGTATGCGGAGAAAAGATGGGTGGAAATTCCAGAAATAGATAGATATATATATATATACGCATGTACAGATACAGTTAATGGAAAAATCTTATGTCATGATGATGGTGAAGAACAGGAACGTTGACAACACCACTCCCTCACTCAGATTCTTCAGCACGCATCCATCCAAGACAACCCCCCCCCCCCCGGCGCTAAAACTGTTCCTCTTTTAGAGTGGAATTTACCAGACGCGACTGCTCCCCATATTCAGCGCCAAAAGTAAAGAACCAGGTTTTACTTCCACCCGTTTCTGAGAATGGATTGCCCGAACATCCACCCGTTTCTGGGAATGGATTGCCCGAACTTCCACCCGTTTCTGAGAATGGATTGCCCGAACATCCACCCGTTTCTGGGAATGGATTGCCCGAACTTCCACCCGTTTCTGAGAATGGATTGCCAGTGACTGAAGTGGAAACTAAAAACAATGTGCCTTAAAATCTCATTCATTCATTCATTCCCCCTCACAATCGACAGGGTCGTATTTATTTATTTCGACACCGGGGGGGGAGCAGAACCACTAAACACAACAACAGCGTATCTCTCTACCACATCTCACACACACAACATTCCCAACAAGATTCCTAAACAGAAACAACAAAATGAGAAAAATCTTACGCATTCTCTCGTGCAATCATTAGATAATTAATCATATCCGCACTCGTACACAATTCATGATGACACGGTTGTAGTTGTAGCAATAAAAATCTAACGACATTTGCATCCTGCTGCGGTTACATACGTGTGAAGCGGAGAAAAGGCAGAAGACGTCGACGACGACGCTGCTACGACACTAAAAGCTGCGGAGCTCGGCGGCGGACCTGGTCTTGCTGGTGGTGGCACACGCACTCTTCTTGGCAGTTTGGACCGTCCCAGGCCACAGTGGGGGAAAATTACCACTACTCTCTCTCTCACACACACACACACACACATACTCACACACACGTGATACACACACAGAGGCATTCAAAATCATCTACGCACACACAAACACGCGCGAGTACTACACACATTCACTCACACAGACGAGAATTTATTGTTCTATATATAAAACATGTGCACTCAGCTTGGTCCGTCTTTGTGGATAGTATTATGAAGATACTGGAAAAAATATCTGGGGAAAGATGGGGAAAAAAAAACATATCTCAAAATCCCACACGGATAAAAAGGGAAAGGGAAAATGTAAGAAGACAAGCAAGAGGTGAGAAAGTCAGGCAAGCAATGTAGTCAACATGTTGGGAAACCACTACAGCAATCATCCTGAACTACTCCTAGCTTAGCTTTTAGTAGACAGCTGACATTTGAATGAATCAAAAGATTTGATCTCTCTTAAAGTACACGGCAAAGCATTCTAAATCTTGGGGCCTTGATATTCCAATGTTATTTCATCCATTGTTTTAAGTTTCATAGATGGTAAAAGAAATTTCTTTTTGTTGTTGTCAGCTGATGAGAACTGACAACTTGAAAGATAACCGAGTTATACAAAGAGCAAATATATAACAACATACAAACAGAGGAAGGACAGATAAAGATGATTGAAACAAAAGAAACCCACTGCAGAGCGCCCTGCAATCACCCACTTTATCATCTTCACTGCTGCCAACTTTTCAAAACCAAAGAGCCCCCCCCCCCCCCCCCCAACTAATTGTCTTTATAAATGAGCATCCCACATAGGATTCTTTCAGTTCCACCTCCGTTGATTTCTTTTCCTGTCAAGAAATTCACAACAGACTAGTAAAAAAGATATAAGCTATCTCTGTTGCTGCTGTTGTATTTTCATTATCTTACTCACACAGCCGTAAATAGAAGAGTTGACCAAACATGACCATAATTATGTGAGGCAGCGTGGTGGAATCAGACTCTTGTCAATTTTTGGGCATATTGAGTTATTGGTATCATCTTAAAGCTAGCTCATTTATCTTGCTTTCAATGAAAAAATTACTCATCCATCTTCAATAGAACTGGAGATATTTTGGATTGAAGGAGGTGGGGGTCACCTGATTTAAGAGGTAAAATTAGCGAGAAAATGGCCGCCAAAGCTTGGTAAATTCCAAAGCTGGAGAGTCCATGGAAAGTGTAAATTTATATTTTTTGTGCCTTTAATCAACGTTTTCGGTGAAATCCTCAAAGGAATGTGTTTGTAAATGGACATAAAAAGTGTTGAGCCAAAAAAACAAAAATTCGATAAAAATTGCTAAGCAGGGAGAAAACTGCTGTTTTCTTCGATTTCATTATTTTGACGAGAGCCTGATTCCACCACGCTGCCTCACATATACTCAAACAACCGTATGAATAGAAGAGTGGACCATAGCCTAATACTACTACTCACACATATAAATCCTAATTTCTGCCGATGTGCGTTGAGGCGTTTCACTTGCCGTCTCTCACGTCCTCAATTTGTTGAACACACTCTATACGCTCCACCGACATGTCGGGGTTGAACTCCGTCACGGAGCGGATGGCGTCCGCCAGGGCCTGCGGGCAGTCGCAAACACACACAGATGTGTTAGTTGTAAGAGTTTTACGGCACTCGCAACACAAAAAGGTCATTTAAGTGCTGAAGATTAGAGGTGTTGCAAGAGAGTAACAAACACAAAAAAGGAGGGAAGAGGTAAAAGGAGCAAACCACACCAGAGCATCCGCCAACCATCCACACTTACACAGATGTACGTTATTTGTCAGTCACACAGATATATAGGGTTTGTCTATTTGTCAGTCGCAAACACACAGATGTACGTTATTTGTCAGTGGCAAACACACAGATGTACGTTATTTGTCAGTTACAAACACACAGATGTACGTTATTTGTCAGTTACAAACACTCAGATGTACGCTATTTGTCAGTCGCAAACACACAGATGTACGTTATTTGTCAGTCGCAAACACACAGATGTACGTTATTTGTCAGTCCTAAACACACAGAGGTACGTTATTTGTCAGTCGCAAACACACAGACATATATTATTTGTCAGTAAAACAGATATACAGGGTTTGTCTATTTGTCAGTCCCAAACACACTGATGTTTGATAGGAACAATGAAATAGAAGAGTGAGAGGATGGGGAAGAGGAGGTGGAAGAAGAAGAAGAAAAAGAAGAAGAAGAAGAAGAAGAAGGACAAGAAGAAGAAGAAAAAGAAGAAGAAGAAAAAGGAGGAGGAGGAGGAGGAGAAGGAGTAAAAGAAAAAGAAGAAGACGGAGATGGAGAAAGAGAAAATGAAACTGAGAAGGATAAAAGACGCTCTTCTGACTTTACAACTCGTTTTTAAAAAAACAAAACCCCCCAAAAAACAAAACAAAAAACCAACTTACAGCGTCGAAATCGAAATCATCCTCCTCATCCCCGCCGGACATGGTCACCTTCTGCACCACTCGCGTCTGCTCCACTCCGTCTCGCTCCGTCTTATACTGGGGACACAACAACAGAGAAACATAAACATGACACATTCGTTACACGTCTTAGTTTTAGTAAGAGTTTTACGGCACTTGCAACACAATAAGGTCACATAAGTGGCGAAGATTAGAGGTGGTGGGACCTAAGGGTTCAGAAAGTGAACCTTACAGTCGAGAGGAGTATGTTTTAAGCCATGTCTGTCATATCCGCAGTGTTACAGAAATTGCATTTATATGACGCATATCCGCGGTTTTACTGTAATTGCATTTATACGACGCATATCCGCAGTTTTACTGAAACTGCATTTATTTAACGCATATCCAAGCTCTATCATGCTCTAAGCCTTTACGACTATTATTACCCTAAAGACATTTTCGGCTTCCCGTGAAGCATACAATGCAAGCTGCGGATTAAGTGCTCAAACACTAACAAATTGACGAGATCTTTCGCTATCTATAAACAGGTACCAAATCCCACCAGGGTGAAGTAGTGAGGAAAGTTCCTTTAAAGTAAATTAAAGAGCCTTTCCCCATTCCAAGGTCAAAGCGTCAGGGCCCCTGAGAGTTCGAACCCCTGACCTATCGCTCATGAGCCAACCGGTCTAACCTCTAGACCATCGACACTACAACACGAAAAGTCGTTACAACAGAAGCAAAGAGCTGACAGGCGGATATGACAGCACGTCATCGTCACTCCCAGAGGCACCCTCCGACCACCCACGTCACCATCACTACCAGTAGCACCCTCCAACCACCCACGTCATCATCACTACCAGTAGCACCCTCCGACCACCCCCTTCATCATCACTACCAGTAGCACCCTCCACCACCCACGTCACCATCACTACCAGTAGCACCCTCCAACCACCCACGTCACCATCACTATCAGTAGCACCCTACAACCACCCACGTCATCATCACTACCAGTAGCATCCTCCAACCACCCGCCTCGCTGTCACTGTCCGTAGCAAGTTGGACAAAACAGCTGAGGGTACAGACAAGTTGAGTTTAAGTGAGAGTTTTACTGCACTTACAACACAAAACAGGTCATAGAAGTGCAAAAAAAAATGTAAGGTTTTCTAGAGAGTGACATTCAAAGAAAAGAAGGAGGGGATTATAAGGACAAGAAATGTTTGCTAGAAAAGGAGGGGATTGTAAGGACAAGAAATGTTTGCTAGAAAAGAAGGAGGGGATTATAAGGACAAGAAATGTTTGATAGAAAAGAAGGAGGGGATTATAAGGACAGTAGATGTTTGATAGAAAAGAAGGAGGGGATTATAAGGACAAGAAATGTTTGATAGAAAAGAAGGAGGGGATTATAAGGACAGTAAATGTTTGATAGAAAAGGAGGGGATTATAAGGACAAGAAATGTTTGATAGAAAAGAAGGAGCAAACTGCACTAGAGCATCCACCAACCACCCACGTTAAGACATGGAGATATCCTATAAATTTTACAAATTCACTTCTTTTTTTTTTAACACCCATTTTAGATTACTGAAGGCCTTTGCCAGATTGACCTTTGAATTAAGGTCCTTCTCTGATTTAAAAAAACAAAAAAAACAAACAAAAAAAAACCCGAGGTGAAATGTGCAAAAACTGTCCACAAAACCAAAATCATGGAATGGACTTGAACTTTTAAAGTTTTAGTAGAGTTTTTACGGCGCCGGTGCTCGCAACAGCATTAGGTCATATGAGCGCCAAGGGGTGAACGTCAACGGAGAAGTCCATAAAAGGAATCAGACTTACTCTGCTCATCTCTCTAGCCTCAACAGCACGAGGTCTGCTTCGACTATCAAGGCACCCCGGAAATAGCGGGTCACAAGAGTGTGACAAACATACAAAAGAAGTAGAAAAAAATGACGATAGTAAGGATTAGGAAAGAAAAAGCAACAGTTCGCTGTTGTAGTTCAGGCACAGTTATGAGCATGACATTGATGAATCAGCCCGTTTACAATTTTACTGTGCATAAGAACATGTTAATGTCCCCCGCTTTGGGAATGGCCTAAAGATATTTCAGTCAGTGGCACCGCCCTGAAGGGTTCATGAGCTGATGATGACCATTAAAAAAAAAAAGTAGGTCTAAGAGTTTTACGGCACTTGCAACACAATAAGGTCATATAAGTGCCAAAGATTAGAGGTGTTACAAGAGAGTAACAAACACCAAAAAAAAGAAAGAGGGGAGAAAAAGATGATAGATGTTTGATAGGAAGAGCAAACCACACCAGAGCGAGCATTCTTCAACCACCCACGATGACCTTTAACGTCCTCGGAGGAAGAAAAAGTCAGAGACTGAGCTGGCTACTGCGCAAACGTAATGATCAACAAAATCCACAAAACTGGACATTTGAGGAGAAGCCATTGTTTTCTACAACCACAGATTCTACACTGCGCTTACAGCTAAACTGAAGTTTCAGCAGTTACGGTTTTACCCCTACTAAAGCATGACACAAAATGATTGAAGTTTTAGCTGTTTAAATCTGATGTCTCTTTCAGCATGACATAGCAAAAGTGAGGCTTAAGCAGTTCAAAAGTTGATGTCTATTTCAGTATGACACAGGTAAACGAAGCCAAAATGAAATAAGAGTCAGAGGAACCGTGAAATGAAGCAGGTACTAAAAAACATTTTAAAGAAATAAAACATGTAGGGATTTTTACCCCTCCATCGACACAATTTAGACTTCGAACCGGCCTGCCAAAGCAAACTCGGACCACGAGAGAGATACAACATCCCAGCAGAAAGACCGAGACACTCAATAAAAATGTCCTCCCCACTCGAGGGAATCCAATTTGAGTCTTCTGTATGACAAAGAAAAGCACCTAACCGCTCACCACAGACGCCAATTTTCTTCCCAGCGCGGAGGAGGTACAACATTCCTAGGTACACAACGGCATGTTGGGGGGCACAAGATATTGGGAAACGTCTCCAGGGAGCACCCAGGAACTATTTGGAGACGTATTCCCGCACACAGATGCACTGCTTTGGGCGGTCAAGCTTGTGTATTGTTTGCTACAGATCACACATATGGCCACTAAAACTCTAGCAAACCAATTATTTGCAAGTTCAAACCTAATTGCAAAATATCAAATTATGGAGTAAAACAGGGGGGTCTGTAACCCCCCCCCGATTTTTTAAACTTGGTCCAGAGGCACAAAGCATTTTGATTGGTCTACCTCCGACGGAGACGTCTCCGGATAGATACTGTGATGTTTGGGAGACAACAACAGACAAGTCGCAAAGAAAACAAGGACCGGCCTACGGTAGAACACAGACATGAAACAGCACAGGGAAAGTAGTTCTTACAACAGTATTTCTGTAACACATACCGAGATTGACTTTCAAGGACAAAAATAATATTTCATGTAAATTATTGTAAGACTGTACAAAGATTCCATTGTAAGACTGTACAAAGATTCCATTGTAAGACTGTACAAAGATTCAATTGTAAGACTGTACAAAGATTCCTTTGTAAGACTGTACAAAGATTCCTTTGTAAGACTGTACAAAGATTCCTTTGTAAGATAAGATTCGATGGTAAGACTGTACAAAGATTCGTTTGTAAGACTATACAAAGATTCCTTTGTAAGACTGTACAAAGATTCGATTGTAAGACTGCACAAAGATTTCTTTGTAAGACTGTACAAAGATTCGATTGTAAGACTGTACAAAGATTCCTTTGTAAGATAAGATTCGATGGTAAGACTGTACAACGATTCGTTTGTAAGACTATACAAAGATTCCTTTGTAAGACTGTACAAAGATTCGATTGTAAGACTGCACAAAGATTCCTTTGTAAGACTGTACAAAGATTTCTTTGTAAGACTGTACAAAGATTCGATTGTAAGACTACAAAGATTCGATGGTAAGACTGTACAAAGATTCGATTGTAAGACTGTACAAAGATTCGATTGTAAGACTGAACAAAAATTGTGAGTAACTAGCGCCGAATCAGCTCGAAAATTAACGATTGGTTTGGTGGTCGAGATAACGCACAGGTTAAAACCTACAACTGTGGGTGGTTGGCGGGTGCTCTGTCTGGTGTGGTCTGCTCCCTTTTCCCTGTCAAACACCTATCCTTCGTCCTCATCTCCCTCCCCACCTCCTTCTTTTCTTTGTACTACGTGACTCTCTAATGACGTCTCTACATCTCCGGCACTCACACGCACGAGCCACCTGTGCTGCAAGAGCCGTGGTGTGGAGACTTTCAGACTTTCACTACAAGGGAAAAAAACAAAACAAGCACAACCTACAACTTACTGTTGTGGTTTCAATGGTCTGCATTCTGGTACTGTGCGACTGAGCACTGACTAGAATCCCCTCATCGAGATCCGGTGGCAACCCGTCGCGTTCATAAGTCACCGTTCTCGTCTGAGTTTTGACCAGTGGGATATTTCGACTGGACACAGGGGGCTCCTCAAAGTTGGGGTTGTATTTGACCTTTTCCGTGGCCACCGTCGGAGGCTAGAAGCCAAACGAGCCACCGAGAACCAACGAGTGTGGTGGTGGTGTGGTGGTGGTGCCCACGGGGTCAGAAAGCGAAGGGGACGGGACGGTGGTGGTGGTGGGTGGTGGGTGGTGAGGGACCGTGGGAAAAAAAGAAGAGAGAGAGAAACAAAAAGGTGAGAAAGTGCCCACAGAGATGAAGAGATGCAGACAGGAAACAAACAGACAGACGAATGACACGATGAACACAAAGTGAGTCACACACGATGATGTCCACTCTCCAACTACTGACCTCATCCAAATATACAACACAACATTCAACACAGGGTCAACACACGGGCTAGCATGCAAGCAAACACACAGCCAAACAAACACACAGCCAAACATGCACACAGCCAAACATGCACACAGCCAAACAAACACACAGCCAAACATGCACACAGCCAAACATGCACACAGCCAAACAAACACACAGCCAAACATGCACACAGCCAAACAAACACACAGCCAAACAAACACACAGCCAAACATGCACACAGCCAAACAAACACACAGCCAAACAAACACACAGCCAAACACACACACAGCCAAACACACACACAGCCAGCAGATTTTTTCTGTCCCTACATGTGTATTATTTGTATTTATAACATGGATATCAAAATCTGTACATAATGAAACTTATTTAAGCGCCACGCCCGTTGAGTTGTGTGCTTGCTGGATTGTTTCTGGTTACTTTCATGTCTTCAGGCTAGTCTAGAAAATATTCAACTATAACTAGAAGCACACAGATGTCCAGCCAACCAACAATAGCAGTTCTAGGGAACAAAAAGACTCCGCCTGAGAGGAGCAGTTACCATACAGCTGATAGTTCTCTTAGAAACCGTTGCTTACAAATCACACACACTCACACACACACACGCAAATGGACACACACATACACACACACAAATGCACGCATGCACACTCACACACATACACAGACACTTGTGATAGTTTTTTTTTTACACGTTTTTCGCCTGCTGGATCAAAGCATCTGAGAAAGTTAACTCTCCATTTTAGATAGAAAATATTGAAATCTGTCAAACTGGCTGCTCAATAAATGTGTGTCACGACATGAAGCAATCAGGTGCTCGGCAGTATTTGGGCATATGGAGGAGTCATTGGTTTCAATTTAAAGATTGCTCATCTGTTTTGCTTTTGATGAAAAAAAAACAACAAAAAATAACCCTTTTATCTTGAATAGAAATCGAGATATTTGCAATAGAAGGAGGTGGGGGTGGCTTTACGTCAGGGGAAAGAAAAGTTAAGTGAGAAATTGGTGACCAGTTTCTGTGCCCTTGAAAACTGCAAATTTACATTGGGGGGGGGGGGGGGGGGGGGTTGTCTCTGTGATCAAAGTTTTTCTGTAAAATCCACTACTAAAGTTTTTAAATGGACACAAAAAATGTTGAGCCAGAAAAAAAAAGCAACGAATTAATTGACAAAAGTTTCACCGAACAAGTGGGAAAAATGCCAGCCTCTTCCATTTCATTATTTTGATGAGCACCTGATTTCATTCACCCCCAGTGCCACAAATATAATTTAACCAAGGCGATTGAGTTCAAACCCTACAAAAAAACTTACACTGAGGGAAAAAGCAGCCAGACCTACATCTGAACAAGGCCTGAGCACACAATCCTTGAGACATACGTCTGAGTCTAAATACATTTTTTTTAAATCTTTAAAGACACATTTAATGACATCATTTTTATGTCAGTAGATTCATGTTCAGTACAAGGTTATGTAAATGATTATGTATCCATTTATGCATTTTGCGAATTGCATTGTGTATTTTATTTTAGGTATTATGTGAATTTGTAGGTGCTCAATTCATTACAATGTGTAAGCCTGTGCGTGTGATAAGCAAGTAGGTAGGTGTGTGTGTGTGTGTGCGTGTTATAAGCAAGTTTGGCGTGCGTGCATGTGTGTGCATATGTGTGCGTGTTGGCGTGCATGTGTGTGTATGTGTGTGTGTGCATACGAGCGTGAATATTGTTCGTACATTCATTTATGTAAACCGCCTAGAGCTGTATTCACACGGGAGTGGGCGTCGTAGAAATGATCTTCATTATTATTATTATTATTATTATTATTCTTACTACATCCAACAGGGCAGGCGACAATCATTCCACACATGCAACTGTCAAGGAAGATGTTCGAGGAACCAGTGAAAAGTGGACACATCAAACAAGTGTTGTTGGTTCGGGTTAAGAGAAGCACATTCACACAGCAACACTCATTTAGTGCATGAACAAAGAAAGAAAGACAGAAAGAAAGCAAAGAAAGACAGAAAGAAAGCGAAGAAAGAAAGAAAGCAGGAAAGAAAGCAAAGAAAGAAAGCAAAGAAGTAGTACCTACCACAGGAAGTAGACCCCACCAGCGGCACCCTCCAACCACCCACCATAAAACAGTTTTCGTGCCTTCTGAGAATTTAGTGATGCCATGAAGGGATGGTCTGCTTTAAACTACAGACTTTCACAAGTCCACTTTAAACTACAGACTTTCACAAGTCCACTTTAAACTACAGACTTTCACAAGGCGACTTTAAACTACAGACTTTCACAATCCACTTTAAGATACAGACTTTCACAATCCAATTTAAAATACAGATTTCACAATTCACTTAAAAATAGGGACTTTCACAAGGCCACTTTAAAGTACAGACTTTCACAAATCCACTTTCATCACATCTAGGGGGTAGCATTAATAAAACAGAAGAGACTCAGACAGCACACGAAGAGTCTTAGTGGCACGCTTGACAGTCAAATTTGGCAGGGATGGAAAGCATGCACGTCTTTTGTTGTGGTTTAATAAAAAAGAAACACCAAAAAATTATTTTTTTTAAATTAAAGGGCACAGCACAGAGAGAGCGAGCACACACAGAATTAGAACACAGTCAAAAGAAGGGGGAGGGAAGTGGTTCGGGTTACGACGGTTCTCGCCACCAAATGCAAACGTATTTCAAAAAAACATGTTCTCCCTAATATCTTCCAGCACATCCCTGTCTGAGGGTCAAGGGTCACACACAGCGTGCCATGCTCGGTTACTCACAACTAGAAATACGTCTTGGCGTAGACGCAATTGTTCACATGAGCAAAGCACCAATTGTTCACATGACCAACGCCACGATTGTTCACATGAGCAAAGCAGCAATTGTTCACATGAGCAATGCACCAATTGTTCACGTTCACATGACCAATGCCACAATTGTTCACATGACCAAGGCCACAATTGTTCACATGAGCAATGCAGCAATTGTTCACATGAGCGATGCAGCAATTGTTCACGTTCACATGAGCAATGCACCAATTGTTCACGTTCACATGAGCAATGCCACAATTGTTCACGTGACCAATGCCACAATTGTTCACGTGAGCGATGCACCAACAGCCAGCAGTTACCCTGGGCAGGCAGCTCCGTTTCGTCCACACTGACCATTGCAAGACCATTGAAACCATGCTACAGTACCTACTACTATCGGGAGATGGCAACTGTTCACAACCAACTTCTTTAAGTTAAAGTAAAGACTAAGACACAACTGTTCCTTTAACATAGTAATTGTTACTCTGACAAACAGACAGCTTCCTAGACGAGACATAGCCTGATGTCGGATACTGAGCTGGCAGTAGCTACAAAATCAAACATATTAAATGTAAGAACATCTGCATTTAAAAAAATTGTTTTAATAATTAAATAAGAAGCCTAAAAAAAAACTATCGCCAATACGTACCACAAATATTTGTGCCATGACGTTCATAAACATTTTGACAGCTCAGTGTAAAATTCTGCCATAATATGCAAGGGTGAAAGATGACGTGTTACAGAGTCCTACACTGAGGGGTCAGTTTGGATTGATTGATTGATTGAGTAGGTGTTTTACGGCACCATCGACTCAATTAGGGGTCAACGTGGATTGGTCACACTAGGAAAACCCGATCAATGCAAACACTGCGGCAAAGTGAAGATCTGGGATTTTTTAACATTTGGTAAGTGTCTTACAGCGCTCGCAACTGTATAAGGTCATATGAGCGCACGGGGCACATTACACATTGAAGATCTGCGACATCATTACATAGATCAATATATATATATATATATATATATAACAAGCAGGCGTAACACTTAAAAAATAGAGAAATTATAACTGGGGGGGGGAGAACGGTGCTCTTTTTCCCCGAAACAGGGTCCTTATCTGAAAAAAGCCAGAAAAGATGCGACGAGACAGCCTTACACAACAGTGCACAGAGGAGAACACCTTATTCGAAAAAGGCCACAAAATAATCTGCGAAAAAGCTTAGAATGATACTGCACATAAGCTAACATGGCACATTAAACATAATATTACATTTACAAAATCTATGCCACTACGTTCCACATGTCTGACTGACTGACTGACTGCGACTACATCTATAGGAAATACCAGCACCCCGTCATGGGTCTGCAGAATTCTTTTTAAAATCTGGAGCATTTGCTGTAGGAGCGACACAAAGCACATCTGGGTACAGAATCACGGCAAAACAGGTGTAGAAAAAAACAGGCCTAGGCAGCAGTGTCTTTTATTATGGAGAAGAAAATGTTCAACAAAAGACCCAGCACAGCAGATGCGACTCAGTTATTTCCAGTTTCACCCCTCCAACAACGGGAGAATTTCAACTTCCGAGCAAACATTACTTGTGAGCAAAAAATAATTGAGAAAAAGAAGAAGATCCACACCAAATTGGGGATAAGAACAGGGTCAGGCAAAGAAAGTCACTCAAACCTGAGAGGAAAGTACATGGACTCTACAACTCCCTGCAACATCTCTCTGTGTTCTGTCATTCTCAAACCAACAACATCCTCGCTACATAACATTTTAGCACAACTACTCTACAACATGCTGAACATGAAGTCTGCCCCAAACAACAAACTAACTAACTAGTTAGAACATAACACAACCAATAATTACTTATACTGCCACCTCTTGCCCCTCAATTGTTCAGTTTGCCCCAAACAATAAACTAACTAGTTAGAATATAACACAACCAATAATTACTTATACTGACACCTCACGCCCCTCAATTGTTCAGTTTGCCCCAAACAACAAACTAACTAGTTAGAATATAACACAACCAATAATTACTTATACTGACACCTCACACCCCTCCATTGTTCCGTCGGACCAATGACAACCAGGACGATATTCTGTAAATGCTCAAACATTTTCTGGGATTCTCTAAAGTTGAGCTATCACATCAGCTACACATCAACTCTATACCTCTACCTCTAAACGTTCGAAAGACTTTCTTCCACCATTCCCAAATTTTAAAATATTTAACGCAGGTGTATTTACACCCCCATCGACACGACTTAGATAATTTAGGAGGCGGGCTTGTAAACCTGCCTATCAGGACCAACCCGAGCTGAGAGGGATACAACAAACATCCTAGGGGAAAGACCCAGAAACTCAGGGTAAAATTTCCATGCACCCCAGAATCAAACTCAGGTCTCCTGCGTGCGAGCAACGGCAAAGAAGCACATTTGATTAGTGCTACACCGCAAAAACGGGTCGTAATTCCCAGAATTCGATATTGACACAGAAGCGGTTAAAACGTTAGCAGTGTAAGTTATTGCCACAAACACACACAGGGAGAGAAAGGGAAACCAGTTCTGCATAAACAGTCCACACACAGCAGTCCAGTCGGCCCCAGGGTAGCGTGCTGGGAGACACTTTTTTACAGGGTTCCTGCCATGAACTCCCCACTGAATTCAAGGAGATTTCAAGGAGAAATTTAAAAAATTCAAGGAGATTTCAAGGAGAAATTTTAAAAATTCAAGGAGATTTAGTCAAGAAATTCATGCCACGTTTTCGGCGGCGCACTCGCACCCAGGAAGCTTATTTCCAATAGGCCTACACTTGTCTGAAAGGAACGGTAGTTTCAATTGTCCAACAAAAATTTCATTCATGTCCGATCCGGCAAAGTTCAAGGAGGTTCCACAAATCCAAGGAGTGTTTTGAAGGAGATTTTTACTTGAATGCAAATTCAAAGAGTTTTCAAGGACTCGCTGAATTCAAGGAGGCGGCAGGAACCCTGTGTTTGTTATGTTTGTGAGGGTGCCCAAACCGACTGAATGTCTCCAGCGCTGACTCGTGATGATGAGATGAACACATCTAGCACTATTTCACACTAACTAATTCATGATGATGATGAATGACGGAACCACAGCTCTAACCCTATTTCACATAAACTCATGATAAAGATACAAAAATAAATCAAGCATTTTCCTCCACATAAAGTCACGATAATGAGAAAATATACGTATCTTTAGAATACCACCAACTGTTTAACTGAATTGTCTATTGTAATTTCACACAAACTTATGATAATGAAGAAATATGCGTCTCTTTGGTTGGAATACCAACTGTTTAACTGAATTGTCTATTGCAATTTCACACAAACTCATGACAATGAAAAAATATGCGTCTCTTTGGTTGGAATACCAACTGTTTAACTGAATTGTCTATCGTTATTTCACACAAACTCGAGATAATAAGAAAATATACGTATCTTTGGAATACCATACCAAGTACTAAGCAGGATTCTCTATCGCCATTTCACACAAACTCATGATAATGAGAAGTAACATGTGTAGTGAAGCAACCAAGGTACTAGTCAAATCTACCGTGACAACACAGACAGGAAAATAAAATCTTACTTGTACACAAAATCTATTCTTACAACACTGCCACACTATACATTTCACAAAATCTAGTTATACTACGCTGTATTTCTTAAACTGAGTGTGCGTTTTCCCATACAAATGTTCCTATATTAAAATTCTTTCTACATCAGCTTCAGAACAAAAGTAATCAGCAAACTATGTCACAAACTGAAAGTATACTGCTACATAATCTTATTGTTGGGGGGGGTGTGTGGTGTGTGTGTGTGTGTGCGTATGTGTGTGTGTGTGCGTGTGCGTATGTGTGTGTGTGTGTGTATGTGTGTGTGCGCGTATGCGTGTGTGTGCGTATGAGTAAGAAATAAACCACCAACCAAAAACAAAAGCACACACACAGCTACTCCTAACAAGTTACATTTCCAAAAGACGTACTGAGCTGAGACCAAAAGCAACGAACGGACAGTAAAAACTGCTGAAATCTTCAACACCAACTCACACATCGAAAGCAAACAGAGGCAAAGGAGGCAGAAGACTTACAAGAAACTACTGCTCTCAAATAAAATCTATTCGATTAAATAAACAGCACAGACATCTGACTACCCTAACAGTGTGATTTTCATTAAACCCCCAGATTATGCGCCAACAGTCAGAAACAACGACAAGTAGAACAAAAAAACAGGCAGGCGTGGGAATTTCATACTGCAGTAATAATAATAATAATAATAAATGACATTGATATAGTGAGTGCTCAACCCCGATCAAAGTACACGGGCTCTGAGCGCAGTTAGAAATCTGGTATTCCAAAAGTTTTTCTCTCTCCCAAATCAGCATAACGAGGCTGCTGACAGTAAAAGCTAGCAGAAACACAGACCCACAGAACAGAATGACAATTCCCGCTTGCGTAGAACTACACTTACAGAAAATTCCCATTTGAGTAGAACTACACTCTACACTGAGGGAAAATTCCCACCACAGTAGAACTACACTCTACACTGAGGGAAAATTCCCATTTGAGAAGAACTACACTCTACACTGAGGGAAAATTCCCATTTGAGTAGAACTACACTCTACACTTACAGAAAATTCCCACCACAGTGGAACTACACTTACAGAAAATTCCCATTTGAGTAGAACTACTCTACACTCATGGAAAATTCCCACCACAGTGGAGCTACACTTACAGAAAATTCCAAATTCTCATTTGAGTAGTTCGTTGTAAAGCTCGTTGACATGTGTAGAGCATGGACACGCACTATAGGAAAGCAGTTATCATTATGGCTATCATAATTAATTATTGTTATCACCATAAATACTTTTATGAATTATTAGTATTATTTCTATTATCACTATGGTTATTATTATTATTATTATTATTATTATTATTATTATTATTATTACCCTCTATTATAACCAGTAGGCCTACATGGTGTAAAATCTAGGGCTGGGCAATGAGTCGCTTTAGCAAAATCCGGATACTATCTTAATGCACCTCTTCGGCAAATAATATGATATGAACCGCTTCGGCAAATTTGGTTAGAACCACTTTGACAAGCGGGTAGCATCATTTCAACCAATGGGTGCACCCACTTCGGCAAAAGGGTCAGGAAGAAAGAGAGTTAAGAGTCTGAATTCGGATAATGTCTTATTGAGGATTATCCTATTATCCGGACATTTATCCGGATTTCGCCCACCTCTAGTAAAATCATTACCCTCTATTATAAGCAGATAAGATAAGATACATCTCTATTGTCCAGATCCTGGCACATTGGTTTGGTACATGACGTAAAATTCCCACGCCGACTGCGCCGACAGACAGACAGACACGGAGAAGCTCGGGCCCAACAAAGGGGTGGGGGGGAGGGGAGGGAGGTAAATGAAAGAGCTACTCACGTTAAAGCTGTCGTCCATGCTGTGGTTGCCCTTGGGGGGCACGGGCGGGGGGACTTTGCCTCGGCCCACGGTGCTGGTGGCCGCGGGGTGGAAGAACGGCATCGTGTTGTCCGAGAAGCCGGACTTGATCGTGTCCTTGGTGCCCTGGAGCGGGACACGGGTTGGACGTTTATTTGAGTTGTCGTTGTCAGCAAGGTTTTACAGCGCTCGCAACAACACAATAAGGTCAAATAAGTGCAGAAGAATAGATGTGTCATAAAAGAGCTTTTAGTTTAGTTTTAGTAAGAGTTTTACGGCACTCGCAGGTCATATAAGTGCCGAAGAATAGAGGTGTTACAAAAGAGTAACAAACACAAAAATGAAGGAGGAGAGATGGTTTAGTTTAGTTTCAGTAAGGTTTTACGGTGCTCGCAACTGCATAAGGTCATATGAGCGTAGAAGAATAGATGCGCCACAAGAGAGTTTTTAGCTTAGTTTTAGTAAGAGTTTTACGGTGCTCGCAACACAATAAGGTCACATGAACGCCGAAGAATAGATGTGTCACAACAGAGTAACAAACACAAAAAATGAAGGAGGAGAGATAGTTTAGTTTGGTTTTAGTAAGAGTTTTACGGCGCTCGAAACACAATGAGGTCATATAAGTGCCGAAAAATAGAGGTGTCCCTTTATAGATGTTTGATAGGAAAGAAGGAGGAAAGATAAAGGCAATAGATGTTTGATAGGAAAGGAGGAGAGATAAGAGCAATAGGTTTTTGATAGGAAAGAAGGGGAGAGATAAGGGCAGAAATGTTTGATAGGAAAGAAGGGGAGAGAAGAGGGCAATAGATGTTTGATAGAAAAGAAGGAGAGATGAGGGCAATAGATGTTTGATAGGAAAGGAGGAGAGATGAGGGCAATAGATGTTTGATAGGAAAGAAGGAGAGTTAAGGGCAATAGATGTTTGATAGGAAAGAAGGAGCAGACCACAGCAGAGCACCCGCCAGCCCCCCGCGTGTGGAGACAACATCCCCGCGTCAGCGTCACTCACCGTCACTGGCTCAGGCACGGGCTCGAAGCGCTGTCGGTTCTCCACTTCCTTCTCGTCGCCGACCACGCCCGTCATGTCTCCTTTGCCCACGCCCAGACCCAAGCCGTACGGGTACGCCCCACCGCCGGGCGCTGAGCCAACCACACCAGCCTGAGGAGACAGCCAGACGTACGTGAATATACTGCGTTTGATGAGTTTTAGTTTTTAGTAGAGGTTTTACGGCACTCGCAAACGCATAAGGTCATATGAGTGCCAAAAGATTAGAGGTGTTACAAGAGAGTAACAAACATAAATGCTTGATGTGTATGTGTGTGTGTGTGTGTGTGTGTGTGTGTGTGTGTAGGGAGCATGACTCAAGCAACAACACAGTGGCTTATGAAACAACATAAGATCAGATATACTTTATACATAAGATAATGTATGTTATAGACAAGACATACCTTAAATCTACGATATACCTTATAGCTAAGATACATTTTATTGTCAAGATATACCTTATAGCTAAGATATATTTTATAGTCAAAATATACTTTATAGATACAATCAATATACAGTCAAGCATGCACATAGCTAAACCAGCAGGACACTGGAATCTTTTCATTTTGTACATGTTTTACACACAATGAAAATACCACGCAAGAAAAAATTGGGATTGAAAAAAATTTGGAGCTGAAAATCTGTTTGCTATGTGCATGTATTGGTATGCCTGTTTAAGACTGTACACATGTACTTTAGTAAGTTAGTTTTAGTAAGGTTTTACGGCGCTCGCAACTGCATAAGGTCATATGAGCACCAGAAGATTAGAGGTGTTACAAGAGAGTAACAAACATAAAAAAGAAGAAGGACAGATAAGGATGAAAGATGTTTGATAGGAAAGAAAGAAGAAGCATACCACACCAGAGCACCCGCCAACCACCCACACATGTACTTTACTGAACACCCACAGGAAGAGACTGATCCAGCGCTTTCACCAGCCTCTGCAACATGAAATATTCACACATAGCACCACATCAACACAGAAAGATTTCTGTCACTGAAATGTCTACAAATTAAATCAGTCATGTGTGGTTTTAGTTTATGTGAGAGTCTTACAGCATTTGCAACACAAATAGGCCATATGAGTGCAAAAGATTAGAAGTACAACAAGAGACAGAGCAAAGATGGAGAAGAGATTAAGGACAATAGATATTTGACAAGAAAGAAGGAATAAACGCAAACTAAAGCTCCCGCTTATCATCGACACATAATAAATGAATGTATAGTGGTGACAGACACAAAAAAACCTCAGCTGTTATTTTTACCTGACAACAAGAGTGACGTACACTTCTGTACTGTGGTATAACTGATTCTTTATACTACAGAAAAATGAACAGCCTGCATCTTTCTCATAATGGTTTTTCAGTTTTAGTAAAAGTTTCACAGGCACTTACAAGACTCATTTTTCAGAAGTAAAAAATAAAATAAAAAATATCCCAATTTTGTAAACACATTTATCAATATTACATTATTTATATTTGATTTATTATCTCACAAACACAGCTCTGAAATCTGTACAAAAGACCATGACAAGGTAAAAAAGACGCAAAAGCCACCAATGTAAAGTTTAAACAAAACCAAAAAACGTTGCAGAAACAAGTCTCTGATTGAAATGGTTATATTTGGTTTTTTAATTCATGGGGGAAAAAAAGATGCAAAGATCCACCCCCCCCCCCCAATTAAAAAACAAGCAAAAAAAACAAACTACATATGCCAGAAGCAATATTCATAATGATAAGGTCATTTCAAGCTGAATAGGAAGGAAAAAAATGAGTGGAAAAAAATTTCATAATACGGACTTAGTCCCATATAATGGGGTGCGCTGACAAAACGGGTTACGTCTCACAGTACAGGATTGGAGATACCAGCCAAACTTCAAAGGCGGTCAAATTTACGTACGCAAGTTTTTTCAGTGTTCAAGGCCAAAATGGCCCACATCACATCAACAGACAACACTCTTTTGTTCCTCAAGGAAAGGGACAAATTTGTAGGTTTTCAACTGATGCCATTTTCTTCAAGTTTGACAAGTCTTTTTTCTCATTCCATACTAATTAACTGTACAAACTCCACCTATAAATTTGATTTACATCTATGTCCACAGGGCAAAAATTCGAAAAGTAAATTTGACATATCTATGCCCATAGGGCTAAAACTCGAAAAGTAAATTTGACGTATCCCGAAAAGTAAATTTGACGTATCTATGTCCATAGGGCTGAAACTCGAAAAGTAAATTTGACGTATCTATGTCCATAGGGCTAAAACCCGCAAAGTAACTCATTTTGTCAGAGCAAGCCTCACAACTCTGGGCAACATCCGCTACTTCAGTTCAAGACGAAAGAACAAAACACTGTGCGTGATCGTTGTTTGTTTCCAGTTCTGATCTCACTACTACAAGCGTTCAGTTGTTAATAATGCAACTTCACACACAGCCAGGCTGGGTTAGGCACCGTTAGTAGAGAGAGAGAGAGAGAGAGAGAGAGAGAGAGAGAGAGAGAGAGAGAGAGAGAGAGAGGGAGGGAGGGAGAGAGGGAGGGAGGGAGGGAGAAAGAGAGGGAGAGAGAGGGAAAGAGAGGAGAGAGAAGAGAGAGAGAGAGAGAGAGCGAGAGAGAGAGAGAGAGAGAGAGAGAAGGTTGGTTCTTGTCTCGGGGGCTAGCTAGAGAGGGTCAAGGACTGATTAGTTACGGAGAGTCATGAATAAGTTGAGTGAGTCAAGCAGGCAAAGATAATTTATAATTGGGTGTTCCGCTGAAGCCAGCTGAAAATGAAGAAATCATGAACGGTCACACATGAGCTGACAAAGACAAAAAAAAAAAGAAGATATAAAGCATTTTTGGGTTGGTTTTTTTCAAATTAAGGTGATATTTTCACCCCCCCCATCGACACAATTTAGATAATCAAAGAGACAGGCGTTCGACTCTGCCGCCTGTAAGGGCTAATCCAGGCTGAGAGGGATACAACATCCCCGCAGAAAGACGGAGAAAATCAAGTCTTTCTCCCCGCATGGGAATCAAACTCAGGTCTCCCATGTGTGACAACAAAGTGCCCAACTATTAAAACCACTACTACAGACCACCACCTTGGCCTTCGCATGCAATGAATGGACAAAAAAAAACGAATACACCGGCGTACTGGTTTCTCAGCTAAAATGCTGAAGAAGTAACAGAGATAAAGCAGACGGCAACAGCCGAAAAATGTAAGCAAAGCATCAACCTGTAAAAGGAGAAAAGATAAACAGTCTGCGATTCGTCACTCTCAGTCAAATACTGAACCAATTCTGCCGTTTCACTCAAGAAGACGAGGAAAAGGAAATGGAGACAGTCTCTCCTCTGCAAGGCTCAAATTCTCATCAAAGGGAGAGTATCATTAGCACGTACTCTTAGTTTTAGTCCAGTTTTACGGCACCTGCAGCACAATAAGGTCATATGAGTGCCGAAGAATAGATGTGTTACGAGAGAGTAACATACACAAAAAAGAAGCAGGAGAGATAAGGACGATAGATTGTTTGATAGGAAAGAAGCAACAAACCACAGCAGAGCACATACTCTGATGGATCTCCCAGAAGTGGTTCCCACAGAGACCATCCACGGAAGTGCAGCACACAGATAGACCTCCCAGAAGTAATTCACACAGACAGGCCAAAAACATGGACACTTGACACATACTTCAGTGGAAAGACCAAATGACAGGTCAGTTTTTTTTAGTTTTAGTAATAATTTTAAGGCACTTCAAATGCAGTTAGGTCATGTAAGTGTCATATAAGATAAAAGAGGTGTTACAAGAGAGCAACGTACCGAAAAAGAAGAAGATAGATGTTTGATTGAAAAGCAGAAACAGTCTGCACCAGGGTACCCGCCAAACACCGACCATGTGCTTGTGAAGAGAGACCAACAGACAGACCATGATACAGAACCTGAACAGAACCCCGTCTCCACCACGGGACAAGGTTAATCAACAATAAAAGACAAATCTTTACAGAATTGCAGTCCTTCAGGGAGTTTCTCAAAGCAAAAGCAGCTTTCTGATCCAAAGACACAGGTCTGTCAGCCAAAAAGTCAAGAGAAGAAAGCTGGATATCAAAATAGCCACAACAGCTTTTCACTGGACACAAGAAGTGCAAAGCACAAACGAGAGAGAGAGAGTGAGAGAGAGAGAGATAGAGAGAGAGAGAGTGAGAGAGAGAGATAGAGAGTGAGAGAGAGTGAGAGAGAAAGAGAGAGAGAGAGAGAGTGAGAGAGAGAGAAAGAGAGGAAGAGAGAGAGAGGGAGGGAGAGAGAGAGGGAGGGAGACAGAGAGAGAGAGAGATAGAGGGAGAGCTCATGACTCTGACACACCCACAGAGAGAAATCCTTCAGAACACACACCTGTCCAGAATGGACCATATTTATGGCAGTTGTTTGCAGCTGCTCTCATGCCAGCAGACGTAGCCTGAGACACATATCAATTAGTAGAAGACTCATGCCAGCAGACACAACGCGGGACAAATGTCAATGAGTAAACTCATGCCCACATTCCAGACAAGTCAAATCTGTAACTCTGAGGCAAAACTGGAGCAGGCATCGACATCATCATCATCATCATCATCCACCGCGACATATGTCAATGAGGAAACTCATGCCCACATTCCAGGCAAGTCAAATCTGTAACTCTGTGGCAAGACTGGAGCAAGCATCCACATCATCACCACCATGCACAGGGCAGGCAAGCTTACAACCTGGCTCTCCGCTGTTGCCGCCGTCACTTCACCGCCTGTGACCACTTCCTCCTGGGCAGGAAGTCTTGGAGCCTCAGCGGCCGGAGAGAAGGAGGACGGGGAGGAGGGGGAGGAGGAGGAGGAGGAGGAGGAAGTGGAAGAAGTCCTCTCACTCCCCTTCAGAAAACAAAACAGAGAACAGTTTAAGACCGAGGCTACAACGGGCCTTCTGACACAAAGTTTCACAATCCGTTCAGTTTTGTAAACTGCCATGCACAATAATATTTAGAGCCAACTCAAAATCTGCAGCTGATTTTGAAACAAGGAAAATGTAAGAGAAAAATACACAGGCATTTTAAAACCATATTTTTACAATGCAATACTTCATTATCTGAAAATTATCTCTCCTCGCATGAAGGTATAAGAAACATCTTTCTTTACTCCAAACGTTTTATGTGTGTAAACTTTATAGCTTTGATCAAGAGCAAGACTTTGTCAACGAATGAAGCAACTTAACTAAAAACCATTTCACAAGCGGAGAGAAAAAAAAAAAAGCCAGCTTCCCCTTACTGAAAGCAAAACTTGACAAAACAATCTTGAAATAAAGTCATGTTTTTCGCATGCACTTTGTTGAAACCAGTCACGAATACTGTCACAAAACAGAGTAGTAGGCAAGGAGCTGGCCATTGATGCAATCCTCATGCATTTGACAGCAGCATTAGAAAAACTCAACAGTCCACAATCTGACAAGAGGTATGTATCCGAGACTACTTCCTTTTGTCCTAGACTACACAACAGAAGGACGTGTCCCTCTGTCCTGGGACTGTTGGGTAAGAAAGACATGCACAGCGACCACCACTACTACCAGAGGTAACGAGCACGACTCACGACACAGCACAGACCAAACGACAGGGACCATTCCCCAAAAACATTACAAACATTTCAACCATCAGACACAGATGCTGTTAGAGGACAGAACAAAGACACTCGTGTCAAACATTTCAGGACACCTGTGTCAAACATTTAAACCATCAGACAGGAATGCTGTTAGAGGACAGAACAAGGACACTTGTGTCAAACATTTGAAAAAACGGACACAGATGCTGTTAGAGGACAGAACAAGGACACTTGTGTCAAACATTTGAAAAAAACGGACACAGATGCTGTTAGAGGACAGAATAGAGTTCACAGTAACTATTTCTCTCAAGCCAACTCAAAACGGTTGAAGCAGAAGGACAACGTGCCACCTAGAAGCTACAAATTTTGTCTTTCGGGCAATTGAACCAGACGCAAAAGAACAAATGAATACAGAAAAAGTCATCTTAACACACTACAGTCTGAAGACTGCTGCTAGGAAATATCGGAAGATTCTAGAACAAAGGGAGGAAGAAAAAAAAAATCCAACTATTTCTCCAGCATGCCAGAACAGAATCCTTCTCACACATTCCAGTCACATGGACAGAAACAAAGAGCGAACAAATGTCTAGAAACTCTACTCTACAGCGGAAACATCTGAAACAGCATGCACAACACATTTCTAACACAATTCTCTCATCAGACATTTTCGTTTCGATTTTCTCTCAACAGCGACGCCGGGCCGAACCGAAACGGTTACAAACAAGCAAGACGTTACTTTCAGAAACAAAAAGTAAATTGACTGCAACTGATTTCACAACATCCGCACACTCAACCATTGTTTTACAGATGAGCTCGCATAGATTGGGAAAAAAAAGAAAAGAAGAAAAAACTAGAAGACAAGACACTTCTGAGGTGGAGAACAAAAGGTTTTCTGTCATGCCTCCACGAGAATCAAGCGACACGTTCCCGGCTGCAGTCTCCGAGCAGCAAAAACTCACGGGCCAAAAGACGAGGACTCATGCACACAGACAGACAAACACATGCCGAACAGGAAGCTCAACCTTCTTGGCGGGCGAGCGGCCCACGCACAAACTGGCCATGAAAGAGGAAGAGGAAGACCGTTTCTTCTCCTTCTCTCCCTTTTCTTTCTCCTTTTCTTTCTCTTTCTCCTTTTCTTTGTCTCCCTTGGTGTCGCTCTGCACACAAAGACAACAACATCTGAGAGGTTAGAAACCCACCAGTGACAGGTCTGAAGTGAACAGACAAAAAGGACAAACACTTTCTTTTCCCCAACCACCCAGCCCGCAGCAAACTTTGACACACAACCTCTGCTTTTTAGTTTTAGTAGAGGTTTTACGGCGCTCGCAACTGCATAAGGTCATATGAGCGCCAGAAGATTAGAGGCGTTACAAGAGAGTAATAAACATAAAAAAGAAGAAGGAATGGTAAGGACGATAGATGTTTGATAGGAAAGAAGGAGCAAACCACACTAGAACATCCCCAACCACCCACACACAACTTCACATCTCGGATGTCAAATGCAAGTAAAAGCACAGGATGAACGCGATAAAGGCCTATCTATTCCATCAACGTATCTAGGTGGAACTGATGTCCGTAGACCTAAAGGTGATCTATAAAACATGTTAGAATATTTAAAAAGTGAAGGATAGACTTACGTTCTTGTAAGTTTTATGGCATTTGCAACATAAATTGGTCATACAACAAGTGCCAAAGGTTTATAGAGATGTTACTAGACAGTAAAGAAGGAGGATAGATAAAGATGAGAGCTGTCTGATAGGAAAATAGGAAGAGAGATACTGACGATAGATGTTTGACAGAAAAAAAGGAGGATGGATATGGAGGATGATAAATACTTGATAGGAAATAAGACCCAGGACTGAAATAACAACTGAACTCTAAAACCACAAGATGCAGGTAGCTTTTGGTCTACAGTAAACAGTGTGTCAGTACATGTTAAGGCTAAAGGTAAAGTGTGCAACAGAAAACTATAACCGCGAAGACAAGAGGGAAGGAAAGGGGAAGGAAATACTGGAGGAAGGAAGAGTGAAGGAAGAAAGATCCAGAAAAAAAAAATCATGTCATAGAACGGAGAAGAAAACAGAAAAAAAACCCAGAAAGCTGGATGAAGAAGGCGGACGAGAAGAAATACAGAGAAGAGAACAGCATTAGAAATAAGAATATATGAAAAACAAGGGGAAGGAGAGGTTGATAAAGATTTTCCAACTCTGAGGGTTAGTGAATGACAAGGGGGCTGACACCACCTCTGTTACTGGGGGGGGGGGGAGAAGACAACTCCGCCGCTGGGGAAACTACAACTAAAACCACTTGACAAAAAAACCCCCCAAAAAACGATTAGATTAGAAATAAAAACACACACAGCTTTCAGTTTCAGTAAACCCAAAATCAAGGGAGCAAAAAAAAAAAATGGAAAAAATTTCAAAGAGAAAGAACAGCAATTATTGTAAGTGGAAATGCAGGCTGTGGACAAATTAGGGGGGGGGGGAGAGAGAAAAAGGAAAGAGAGACGCAAAAGGGGGAGAGAAAGGGAAAGAGAGACGCAAAAGGGGGAGAGAAAAGAAAGAGACGCAAAACGGGAAAAAAAAAAAAAGAAATTGAGAGAGAAAGAAGGAGATAGAGAGAGAGAGAGAGAGAGAGAGAGAGAGAGAGAGAGAGAGAGAGAGAGAAAATGAGAGAAAGAGAGAGGAGAAAAAATTGATGGCAAACTGTTAAAAAAAAAAAAAATCCAACTAAAAAAACAAAAAACAAACAACCGCAACACCTCTAGTATGGCGACGTAAGAGGTTACAATTTCTACTCTTCTATCTACTCAGAAGAAACGGTAAGCAGTCGGGTTAGACGAGGAGGCAAACACATCATTAGTCAGCTGGAGGAGAAAAGAGAGAAAGAAAAAGCAAACAAAAACTGTGCGGGAGACCTTTTCAGCCCGGGCATCGGGGGTGTCCACGTACACGCCGTTCTTTCCTTTCCCCTGCGCACAACCGGGACGAGGGAAAATGTCAAAGCATGGTCTTCAACAAACATCAAACCAAACAACACATCATACAAACAAAACATGAAGGGTTACAAAATCTCTCAACGCATGATTAAAAACACATCTCAATATAAGTCGTAACAACATTGCTGCATGCACTTTAAAATAAACATGAAATGCTGAAAAACAAGCGAAACAAGAAAGAAAAAACCCCAAAAAAACGTCTCAATAAACTTGAGCGCATTATTTACAAAGGAATTCTGTAAACACACATAAAATCAGTGTTATAAACAAGTGTGTCAAAACCATTATTTGTTCCAACTATCTTTCACAATATTAAGCAAAGCATAACAAATTTCTTCACCTAATTTTGGATCAAACAAGGTCAACTCTCACCAAGATAATAATACTGAACAAAGTAAAGATGTTCCTTTACAAAGTAAAAATGTTTCTTTACAAGACTAAAACATTAATCACCACCTATAATCCTTATCATCAACATATAAATATAAATACCCACAAGGATATGGAGATTCATAATCCTTATCATCAACGTATAAATATAAATACCCACAAGGATATGGAGATTCATAATCCTTATCATCAACGTATAAATATAAATACCCTCAAGATATGGAGATTCATATTCCTCACCATCAACATATACTCACAAGGATATGGGATTCAAATTATAAATACCCACAAGGATTCTAATTAATCGAACAATTCCATTAAGACTAAACACTATTATAAAGATACATAACACAAGCAAAAGTAGACTTGATATGGTGCACAGAGAAAAAAAGCATGAAAAGAGAAGAAAATTACAGAAATTACTCGTGTGAAGTCAAAGAGTACAAAGCGACAAAATCAGAACAATCTGAAAACCTCCACACAGGCACTGTTCAAGCACAAAGGTGATGATGAAATAAGTAGCCAAAAAGTGAATGTTATGAAAGACAAGACCAGCGATGCATCTGACAATATGAGAAAGCAACCGACTACAGTCAAATCTTCCCCAGACAGCCATCCCACTGCCGAGGAGAAAAGTGCCTACTTCATTTTTCCCCCAACATTTGGAATTTGCGACTTGAGTCGACCGATATCAAGAGGTCCAATACAACAAGAGCTCCTTTGTCCCATTTCACTTCACTTTCACTTATTTAAAAACCTATTTCCTTCCTCTGGTATCCTCAGGATGTCCAGGGGAGGTGCAGGTGTCGGTCCTGTGCTAGGTGTGTAGCGTCTGTGATAGATATATTCTGACTAACGACTAGAATTCATAAGTGTCTTTAAAATTCCTGAATTCCGAGTTTTGTGCGAAAAAAAACCCTGTGACATAGTAATTGTCCATTATCCCCCCCCCCTCCCCCTTCCAAACAACTCAGATTATTTAGGAGTCAGGCTGCTTCACCTCTGCCAGTGAGGACTACTGCAGACTGGGTAGGATACCTGCCAGTGAGGACTATTGCAGGCTGGGTAGGATACTGCATCCCAGCAGAAATAGATACACATTCGATGAAACAAAATTCCCTGAGCAGGACTTGAACTAATTCCTCTTGCATGTAAGGCAAAAGGCCGCGTAACCACAACACCACGGATGACTCTTTATCAACTGATAAGAAAGACGTCTTCTTCATTTGTTCCAGAAGTTTAAATAACTAGACAATTCAATGAAGGAAAATTCTGGAGAAAAAAAACCCAGCCTACACGTGAAGGAAAAACATCGTTTTAAGAAAACGTTCTCGATATAACAGACACAGCCGCAGAAAAACAGATTGTTCGTGCATAGCTGCCAACTTTTCAAAACAAAACAAAAACAAAAAATAAAAAATACCCCCCAAAAAACAGACACGGTAAAGATGGTAGGAAATGGTCAAGTAACCGACCTCCACACCCTTCACACACGTGTTTCTGCATTCCATAAACTCAAGCTATTCAAAGTAGACCTGCCGCAAACGATCTCTCCAACTGACTTCAGGGCTTCGTTCTCAGTATTTTTCACAAAAGATCTCTCCAACTGACTTCAGGGCTTCGTTCTCAGTATTTTTCACAAAAGATCTCTCCAACTGACTTAAGGGCTTCGTTCTCAGTATTATTCACAAACGATCTCTCCAACTGACTTAAGGGCTTCGTTCTCAGTATTATTCACAAACGATCTCTCCAACTGACTTCAGGGCTTCGTTCTCAGTATTATTCACAAACGATCTCTCCAACTGACTTAAGGGCTTCGTTCTCAGTATTATTCACAAACGATCTCTCCAACTGACTTAAGGGCTTCGTTCTCAGTATTATTCACAAAAGATCTCTCCAACTGACTTAAGGGCTTCGTTCTCAGTATTTTTCACAAAAGATCTCTCCAACTGACTTCAGGGCTTCGTTCTCAGTATTTTTCACAAAAGATCTCTCCAACTGACTTAAGGGCTTCGTTCTCAGTATTTTTCACAAAAGATCTCTCCAACTGACTTAAGGGCTTCGTTCTCAGTATTTTTCACAAAAGATCTCTCCAACTGACTTCAGGGCTTCGTTCTCAGTATTTTTCACAAAAGATCTCTCCAACTGACTTAAGGGCTTCGTTCTCAGTATTATTCACAAAAGATCTCTCCAACTGACTTAAGGGCTTCGTTCTCAGTATTATTCACAAAAGATCTCTCCAACTGACCTAAGGGCTTCGTTCTCAGTATTATTCACAAACTCTGTCTTGGAAATTCATAATTTTTCTTCAGCAAATTGGGTAGACCATGAAGCGAAATTCTATTTTTTTTAAACCCAGAATATGTACACTGTATGTAAAATCCAATACATAGACAGACCTCGGTACTCAAATCCTCAAAAAAGTACGAAACACGTTTTTGAAGTACTGGTTGGCAGCTATGTACAAGCACTCCACTGTCACTGTCTTCTGCTCTCTGTACAACAAACGCTCAGAGACAGAGAGACAGCGGCAGCTCAAGTGAAAAGACCAAGGGTGGGAGGGAAAAGTCACAAGTTCAATTTGAATACAAGAGAAGTAATAATGATATCAGTAATATTGATGTCAGTAATAATAATGTCAGTAATGATGCCACATGCAAAGACTCAGAAGAAGCAGCTCCTTACATCCAGAATGTTAGTGGAAAGAAAGCTCCAAATGCTCACAGCACTGGTCTCAAAAAGAAGCGTAACAGAAGTCAATACATTTCTGGCTCATGCATTACGAAGCAGTAAAGACAAAAAAGTTGAAAAATAAAATTAAAATGGACAGATGAGCTCAAACGAGTTTCTAAAAGAATTACAATTTTGAGCCCGTCCACAATTACCCGTCTACATCTTTTACATCTTTGTGATTGTGAATGTCCAAGACCTCATTCCACACAATTTAGGTAATTTAGGAGGTGGGCTTCCCACCCAGGCCGAGAGGGATACAATATCCCAGCAGAATGACCGCGATATTCAATAAAAACTTGACACTTGAGAAGAATGCCTGATTCTTTCAACTCCTGACCTGATATCTGAGCGTTAGATCTGATGTCGGAGTGCTAGCTCTGACATATCTGAGTGTTAGATCTGATGTCGGAGTGCTAGCTCTGACATATCTGAGTGTTAGATCTGATGTCGGAGTGCTAGCTCTGACATATCTGAGTGCTAGATCTGACGTCTGAGTGTTAGATCTGATGTCGGAGTGCTAGCTCTGACATATCTGAGTGTTAGATCTGATGTCGGAGTGCTAGCTCTGACATATCTGAGTGCTAGATCTGACGTCTGAATGCTAGATCTGATGTCGGAGTGCTAGCTCTGACATATCTGAGTGTTAGATCTGATGTCGGAGTGCTAGCTCTGACATATCTGAGTGCTAGATCTGACGTCTGAGTGTTAGATCTGATGTCGGAGTGCTAGCTCTGACATATCTGAGTGTTAGATCTGACGACTGAATGCTAGATCTGAAGTCTGAGTGTTAGATCTGATGTCGGAGTGCTAGCTCTGACGTTTGAGTGCTAGATCGGACGTCTGAATGCTAGATCTGATGTCGGAGTGCTAGCTCTGACATATCTGAGCGTTAGTTCTGACGACTGAGTGCTAGCTCTGACATCTGAGTGCTAGATCTGACATCTGAATGTTAGAGAGCAGACGCACAAACAACACGTCAAACTGGCAGGAATTATTTCAGGAGAGCAGATAAGCAAGCCCACACTTGCAGACACAGCTCAAGGAAATATTGCACGCATAATGTCGGAAAAAGTTTTTGGGTTTTTGTTTTTTTCCAGCGACAAAGCCTTCGACAAGCTGCCACAGCACACAAAACTAGAGAACCAGGACGCGACTAGCAGACACGACATATTAATTCTTATTGCCCACTGTTAGCGAGGGAAGGATATTATGAAGGATGGAAAAACCCACACAGAGCAGACACAGAAACAAGCCGTGACTGTAGCGTACACGACAGTCACAAATTACCGTCCATTATTTGTTATATCGTTACAGCAAAAAGCAAAATAACTATATTGTTAGCTTCTTGTGGGTTGTTTTTATACTCCCCCCCCCCCCTCAAAAGAAGAATCTCAATTTTGTTAGAGTATATTGTTTTGGTACAACCTAACTGGCATGTGAGTAGAAAGATTTTCATATCTAGACAGAATATTACTGACGTTTGATTGACTTATTAGTAAAATTTATGTCTCCTACAATAGGCTGGTCAGGTCGCGTGATGTCGACAATGCCACAAACACCTCCTCATTACATCGTAGATTATACACTTGAGTGCCTCTGAACTAGAAGTTTTCTGGCTCCTGCTGAGCCTAACCTGTGTGCGGCTTTGAAGGCTTGCTGCATTGTAAGGCGCTCCGTCCCCATCCGTAGCCCAC